TCCCCTCCCCTCTCACCCCTGGTAACCAACAAAGAAAATTTCCTTCTATAGATAAACCTTTCCTTAACTTTTACATTAACGGACTAATACAATATTTGTCCTTTTGTATTGACTTATTTCACTCAGAACATACCTCTATATTTCTAAACAACATGCTCATATTATTTCTTGATTTTTCTCATTTTCAATATAATCAGTTGATTTCCTGTCATGAGAGATGAGCAGTTAGGCTCCTCTATTCCTGACTCCTCTAATATACTCCCACCTCCTGCCCTTTCAATTTAAACATATCCCAAGTTTGGTTATATCAATACTCAGTGTACATATCACATCTATGAAAAGATTCCTCATATTGACTTCTGTAGTGTTTGCACTAAGACTCTGTGAACCTGTAAAAACTGCTTTTGTTTATTCATATCGAGGACATCAGGTTGAAAAACGTTGTTCTGTAAAATCATGAACTGTCACAAACTTTGCTATTTGAAATCATATTAGTGAGAATGGAACATCCCACTCTTGCCTAGAGATCTGAGTCATGCTGGTTACTGTGAGAGAGAGAGGCAGCCTCAATTTCCAATCTAGGTGCAAAGCTTCATTTGGTACGTTTTTGGGCACAGCATTCCACGTTTATCTTAACTTTGTAGTTTCTAACAGGACCCTGAGTCCACTTCTCAGCCTGGGCTTATTGTTTAATCCTTTACAGACAGCCATGCTTTTTTTTTTTTTTTGAACCTATGAAACATTGCTTCATTTAAAATTTTTTTTTTCCTGCTTCATTTAAATTTTACCTGAAGTCAAATCAGTTGCCTTCCAGTTGACTCTGACTCATGGCAACCCCACATGTGTGTCAGAATAGAACTGTGTTCCACAGGGTTTTTAATGGCTGATTTATTTTTTAATTTTAAATTTTTACTGTGATTTGGGTGAAAGTTTACAGAGCAAATTCATTTTCCATACAGTAGTTCATACACATTTTGTTTCATGACATTGGCTACAATTCCCCACAATGCAACAGCACTCTTCTCACTTCCTCCCGATAGTTATTTCTCTGTGCCCTTCCCTCCCATGCACTGCTGCCCCCCACCTGCAGCTGTCTCCCTGTGAAAACACTGACCTTTTGTTCTCCCAGAACTGATTGCTCCAAGAAGTGTACCTATCTGTTGTAAATGTTCAACCCATACATCTGTCTATTGTTTGGCTGGAAGTGACAGGAGTGAGTTCAGTTCCAGACCTAAAGGGTAATTAGGGGGCATAGTCTCTGGGGTCTCACCAGGCTCTATCATACCAGCAAACCTGGCCTTTATCATTTGAGTTTTATTCCACATTGTTCTCCCACTCTATCCAGGATCTCCTGCACTGATCCCTTTCTGAGTGGTTGACAGTGGTAGCCAGGCACCATCCAGTTCTTCTGGTCTCATGGGCATATAGGCTGAGGGTCATATGGTCTACTAGTCTCTTGGACTGTTCCCATGTGTCTTTGGTTTTCTTCATTTCTCTTTGCTCTGGTTGAGGAGAGACCCAATGTTGCATCTAGATAGCTGCTTGTAAGCTTTTAAGACCCCAGTCTCTACTCACCAAAGTAGGATGTAGAACAGTACTTTTGTGTAGTATGTTATTCAGTGGCTGATTTTTGCCAAGTAGATTGCCAGCCCTTTCTTCTGAGGCATCTCTGAGTAGACTCAAGCCTCCCATTTTTGGTTAGCAGAGGAGAGCATCAACCTTTTGCACTACCCAGGGATTCCACCCAAACTCATCCCTTTCCCATATCCTGTAATGACTCTGTTTCTTGCTTTGTTTGAATGAGTCATCCCACAGCTCCCCTGGTGTGTGGTTTCTCTTGCCAGCAAGTTAATAAACCTAATGCTAACCAACTACAGGTGTGTTCCTGGTAGTCTTTATCAGACAGGCTTTATCAATTCTCTTTCCTTTTTTTTTTTAATCACTCTGCTTTCCCTGGAGTTGATAATTGTCTGATCTTTTCTTTTACTTGGTATTCTATATACCCACCATGAATTCATCCTCAAGATTCTGAGATTAGAATACAGCTTCTTACAATGGCTGTAAACACATCAGGAAAACCCTCTGTTTTCTCTTGACCTTTTTTTCCTCTTAAAGGCAACTCCCCGCCCCCCCCCTCCCGCCCCCAAGTCCTTCATCCTTTGGCTCCAAGCTTTTTTGGTTGCGTTTCTTTTTTAAAACTATAACAGCTTCTGTTCTAACATTTACCTCAAGGCATCATAGTTGGTTGCCAATGCGTCTGCTTTCCTGATTCCTACTTTCCACCCCAGGAGGGGACAAGTCTCCTGATATCTTTATACCCCTAGTCTGTTATGGCGCTCAAGAAATGTTCGAATGAATAAACGAATGAATGAATGATTGAATGAGATTCCTGTGCTGGAGAACTGAGTTTCAGGAGAACATGACATTCCTGCTTTGTTGCAAGAAAGAAGTGTGTCCTCGGGCTTTCTACAAGTCCCACGCCATCTGCTAAGTGCGCAGCTTAAAACGGTGCCCGATGCTAGGAAAGCCACCCAAAGCCTCTCCAAACGAACGTTGCACGCGCTTTCCAGAGTAGGGTCGGCAGACAAGGCCTTAGGGAAAGACAGCAGCCTTGAGTCTTCCAAGCACCTTCATGAAGACTACAATTCCCAGAAGGCCGCGCAGAAGCAGAGCATGCGCCATAGAGGACTTCCGAACACTGACGTCCGAGCCGCGCGAGGAAAGGCAGACGCTGGGCAAAGAGGTAAGTGTAGGTTGAGCACTGAATGGAGAGGGCGAGGACAGCGAGAATCACCGAGGAGCAGAGCTGAGGTTAGGTGATCCGGAGAGTGGGTGAGTGAGAAGGACAGGGAATAGGTCTCAAATGCACAGGGGATGGGGGTGGTGGAAGGGAATCCGAGCTTTGGTTTCTCTTCCCACAGGGACCATGACGAAGCTAGCGCAGTGGCTGTGGGGTCTGGCTCTTCTGGGCTCCACCTGGGCGGCCCTGACCATGGGGCCTACCCTGGGCCTGGAGCTGCCCTTGACGTGCCGGGAGGTCCTGTGGCCCCTGCCCGCCTATTTGCTGGTGACCGTCGGCTGCTTTGCCCTGGGCACCGTGGGCTATCGCGTGGCCACTTTTCATGACTGCGAGGACGCCGCCCTGGAGCTGCAGAATCAGATCCAGGAGGCCCGGGCCGATTTGACCCGCAGGGGCCTTCGCTTCTAATACCCTCCCCCTCCCTACCCAGGCAGCTCTCCCTCCCAGGCCCCATTAAAGAGCAAATTCATTGTTCAGTTTGAGTGTTAGGGATGTGTATCAGCAGTGGAGACGTCAGAGGTTCCCGCTTCTCACGTCTTATCAGCTTGTATCTGTGCATCCTGCTGGCATTCCCCTGTTTTGGACTGAAGGAGGCAAACACCTCTTTTCAAGATCTCTCAGTATAGAAATGTCATTCCACTTTCCTGGTCCTTTTAACCCTGTCAGAAATATTTCTTGATGCCTAATATGTATTCTCCTTAATAAAAGCCAAACTCTATTCTTTTGGAGGTCTTTCTGGGTCTTCGCAACGTCTTGTTGTTTTTTTTTCCAGGTACGTTTTCTGAGCCAACCCTGGTTGTTAGCCGCTGTCCAGTCAATTTTGACTCACGGTGACCCCGTGTGTTGCAGAGTACATCTGCCCTCTATGGTTTTCAAGGCTGTGACCTTGAACAGATCACCAGGCCTGCCTTCCGAGGCACCTGAGCATTTGCACCACCCTGAGCCAACCTACCAGCCCTAAAATAGCTGTGGATTGGGCAATGCACCTCTACTCTGTTGATAAAGTGATCACTCTGTTACTATCCTTCACTAAACCAGGCAGGTTGAGAATCACTGAATAGAGTATGAGCCATGATGGGCAGTGGTGAGGAACAGTTTATTCTAAGGCACATTCTAGCTACCATCCCAATCTCTAAAATTAAAAAAATAATCTTTTTAAAAAATAAAAGCAATTCATCTCCCAGGTCCCATCCCATCTTCTAAATAAAGCTCTTTGGTTCCATCCCATCTTCTAAATAAAGCTTTTTGGTTCCTCTATTCACAATGTCAACCTTTTTTTTCCTCCCACAACCCACTACACCTGTGGGGCTGGTCAAAAGGAACAGCTGAAATGAGGAGCTCTTTGGTATATTAGGCTGCCATTCAGGTGGCCAGTGGTCAGGTGAGATGCCTCAGGTTTGCAGAAGCCGATAGTTCTTGTCTTGCTCCTGGGGATACTTCCAGAAAAGCCAGAGACGTATGAAGCTTGTGAGGATTCCTGGAAGATTGGGCACCTGAAATCATAAGGCTACTATGAGGAGAGGGGCTGGTTTTCCACTGTGTATACCTGTCACCTTATCCCTGTTCTGCTTACCATGATGTAGAGATCTCTGAGTCGAAGCCCATAGAGGGTCCAAGAGGTAGAGGTGAGGAGGGTGGTGATGGTGAGTGAGTAGGAGAGACGCTGGGTTGACTGAGTCTTAATGACCTTGGCCTGTGGGAAAGAATGAAAGACAAGCCCTGGTGAGAGGCCATCGAAGAATTCCCGCTCCTAGCCCAGAAACATAGTAAAGCTCTCACCTAGCCTAAGAATTTCCTTAAGAAAAAAGTCAAACATGCTTCCTGGTCTATCACCCAACCTTTCCCGCCTGCCTCCCACTCACCCACTCTGCTGCCCTGTCTCCTTCCAGGATTTGGATCTACCCTTCCTCTGGGGAGTAGACCACAGTCCCTGGCTATGGAAACCTGGCCCTTCTTAATCTCTGTCACTTCCTTGGACACCCCCACTCACCAAGTCAGCCAGTGGTGAGAGGTACATGCTGATGGTGAAGACACTGCAGAAGAGGCCCAGCTGCTGCAGCCGGGTGTCAGAGTCAGGCACCATGAGCCAAAAGTAGCCACAACCCAGGAGAAGGACTCCCAGCAGGGTTGCAGTTTGTAGGAGCAAGGCTCGCTGCAGGGGAGACAGTAGCCTTACTTCTAGATGTACCAGGAGCCCCTCTTGACCCCAGCTGGAATTGATTCATACTGCCTTCTCCTATCCCCCCATGGGAGCCAGCCTTTGTCCAAGCCTCTAGTATTGCACTTGTCACAGCTTCCTTCCCACCAGTGACTTGGAATTATGTTTGTTCCACCCACAATACTGGAGGTTTCTAGGGGAGGGAAAGGTGCTTTGTGAGCTTAGTACACACAGTAGGAACTTAATAAATGCTTGTGTGATTGAATGAGGAGGCAAAGCTAATTATCTCATTCACAGCCACTGGCCCTACCTCTGAAGGAGCCATCAGAGTTAAAGCCCTTTTCCCCAGCTTGTTGGGCAGAAGCTCAGGGCTGCATAGAGACCATTAGGATAGGTACAGCTACCAGGCTTGCCATAGTTGGGGGCAGTGTGTCAGTATGAGAAATCTAGCTTCATGGAGAAAGGAGCACTGCAGGGCTGGAGGGGCCTTCCAGGAAAAGGCAGTGCCAATCTGTTAGTCTTCCAGGAAGGAATGTTTGCTCTGCCAGCAAGGAAGGGCATGCAGCAGAGGTGGGTCCAGGGAGGGCCTCTACCTTCCGAGGGCAGTAGTGTAGATACACCAAGATATACAAGGTCTGAAGCGCAGCACCCACAGCGTTGACAAGGATGAGGGTCCCATCTCCCTTCAAGACCCCATAACTCAGCCAGCTCAGGTTGCTGCAGGTTAGGGAGGGGCGGGAATCGCATCTGGGAGTTGGGTGGGGAAGGAGGACCCGAGGGCTCTCCCCTATGTTCTTCTTCTCCACCCCTCCCCCACCTCCACTTCCCGCCGTAGTCATCGCCCCTCTCACTTGACATCCGTGGTGAGAAAAGGCAGGAACTGCACGCTGTCCACACTCCGGGTCACCCGCATGTGCCTGAGGTCCGAGCTGCAACGGGGCCCCGAAAGGAGGGGTGAGGGGTAAGATGGAAGTACCAAGGTGCTAGGTCTCACACCCGATGCCAGTCATCCTCCCCGGGCAATCGCAGACCCCAGAGTCCGCCAGTCCCCATAAACCCGCGGCCCCGCTCTCAGCTCCTTGTTTTGCTTTCTCCCCTAGACCAAGAGAGCAAGCCACGCCCTTGTTCCCTGGTTCCCTTGACCCGATTTCGCTTTGACTTTGGGTCCCAGACATAGCCTTTGGCTGCTGTCAAGTTTGCCTCTCTCTTCTTTCCTGATTTCCTGGTCCTGCCCCAGCCCAGCCCGGCCGCGCTCTCACAGGCCGGTGGAGAACATGCCGAGGGTGAAGAGCACACAGGCTCCGGAAAGGAGCGAGTCCACCACGGCGTCGGGCTCCATTCCTCCCGGAGACAGATCCCGCGCCCTGCAGTTAGTTAGCTCAGCTGTGGGCCCACGAAGCTGAAGCCCCGCCCCCTCCGCACACCGGACTCCGCCCCTGCACGCTCTGTCAGTCGCTCCCGGAAACTGAACCGGAACCCTGCCTGCCCCTAGAACGCTAAACCGGAACTCAGACCCCGCCCTTGGAGCCCAAGTGCGGGGTGGCATGACCCGCCGCCTTCGGGTTCCTGGTGTCGGTGGTCCTGACTTTGACCTCCAGATCCTGGTCAGACCTGGTCCTAGGGGTTTGCGTATTTGTGCCCATATCTGTAGCATTTCACATTCTGCTTATCCCTTAGGTCACCTAGAAGCCCAGGCGGAGGCTTATCTGCGAAAAATAGCACTTATTGCAAGGACTGAAATTGGTCTGTCCAAACACCTGACACCCACCTTTTATGTGACTTTACTGTAGTATCAGCTCGAAAATACAAGTCAAACTCGTTAATCTTTTACTTAACACGTTATGGCATTACAGGAAAATTACAGCAGCACCTTCCTTGCTTTTTCTGATGAAAATTGGTCTTTTATGTGCTCATTTTTTTGTTTCTTTTTTCTACATTCAGCAGAGCAAGATCACACAGTCTACCTTGACCCATGGAGGCTCTGAAATACGAAAATTTTGACTTGCTGAATGATTTCTCACAGATGGCGATGGAAACGGAGATGGTTAACAGAAACTGCTCAGTGGCACCCTCTTCAAGTGGCTCCCAGGGCAGGTGCCAAACTGCCATATTTTAGATAACCTCTGCCCCTAGCCTCAACTCTCCAACTCCCACAGGTCCATGAGTCGGCGTGGTAAACTGCAAAACAAAGGTTTGCAAGACCCAACCAGAAGGCAACCCTCCTATCCAGAGCTCCAAATCCTAGGGTTTGGGATCCACCCCCCCTCCAGAGTTTGCTGAAGCCTCTTTGCAACCTTTTCCCTAAATAAGTTAGTGATTACCAGTACTTGCCAAACCTTGGTCAGATGCCATCTTTCTTCAGCCACACTGCCAGCTTTACATGACCTGGCCGATCCACTGAATCCTCTATTGCTGACCCCCTAGTCCATCCTCCGTACTCCTGAGAACTTTCCCTCCCAGCCTCCCACAGGTCTGCTGGTGGGGCGGGCTGCATGCCTCAGCTGGCGTTCCCTTGAGTGACTGCCCTGACTCACCCAAGCAGCATGAGTGCCTGAACCATATGCCAGAGCCCAGCGCTGAGGGGGTGGGAGTGGGGCAGAGGTTGGGCAAGAACTTGCAAACTGGGGTGTAGCCTAGAACCTGAGAGACTACTGTGGGAGCACTCCTGTCCTAGACACCCTTCAGAGGAGGAAACACCCCACCGTTTTGGCCTGGCAGGGCACTTGTCCTTTAGAGAGAGAGGGGAAGGAATTAAAACCCAGTTGCTATAGGTGTAGCGCAGAGCCTAGCACATGGTAGGGACTCAGTGTTTTTGCCTGAATGGCCGTAAGGTGGTATGGAGGAGGAGAAAAAGCGTATCGCCAAAAAATCAAAACACATGACTTTATTTTGAAACAACAAACACTGTATAAAAGCTCCAGTTGTAGAAAACAGCATAAACATACAGCAAATTTATATACAGATATTGTACATGTGGGCACTGCCCTTCAGACTATACTCTAGGCACAGATTTGGTACACATGGGCACTGCCCTTCCAGCTACACTCTAAGAACAGGTTGGCACAGCCCCCCTGCTGGCACAGCTCTGGGGCATGCTGCCCCCAGATGAGGAAAGGATGCAGTGCCTGGCTACAAACCTCTCTGTGGCAGCTCCACAGACGGAAGTCTTCGGGGGTGATGCTGGGTCAGCCCAAACATGTTGCTTCTCTTGTCCTTGGCTCCTAAGCAGGAAACTGTTTCTCAATTTTCCTTCAGTCATTTTATCCGGGCATCCTAGCTTTCTCTGGGAGGGGCATCTCTGCCAAGCTAAGCATCTATGCTTCCATCTGCATGACCCCAGGCATCTTCCAGCTTGGTTCTCCATGGACCCTTTCAGGGGCCATGTCTGCACAGCTTGTTTCTTTGGCTTAGGGGCAGGAATGCCAGGGAAAGGCTTTCCCCACTTCTTTTGCCATCCCTCTGAGGTGGAGGCAGGGATGGCACTGCCAGACTTGCTGAACTCTTTTGGGTTAAAACCCTGAATACTGACCCGTTTTGAGGCTGCTGAGTAGCAGCTTGTGCATGGTTCCCAAGGCTGTGGCTTTAGGAGCTGTCCCAAGACAGGTGAAGGGTGCCTGCCCCTGCCCCCTCAACCCAGTGCCAATCCTTAAGCCAGGTGTGGCATACACCTTCATGGAGTTTGCAGCAGCAGAAGTGGCAGGAGCAGCACAGCCCAGGCAAATGGAAAGAGGCGGGGGGCAGCACTGTCACCGATGCTATGTAGAACCCGCACCTCCGGGTCATCTGCAAGGTGAGAGTTCAAAGGCCCCCATGGTGAATGGCCCTATTGTTGGTACTGGCCCTCAGCCCACTGCTATTTCTCCAGCCCCTGCTGGGCATGGGACCCACCTCCTATACCCAACCTCCTTCAACAGACCCCATCTGTGCCCCAGGCCCAATTTGCTTCAGCTACTTACCTGCTGGAAGTCTCTTTTCCTGTGGATCAGCATGCGCCTGAGGACTGTGAGCTGAAAGACAAGAGTGGCAGTAGATCAGATATTGTACCAGGGATGCAGAGGGGCAGGAGTGCCAGGTGGGTTGAGCAATGGGACTTCCCTATGGCCCCAGAATTATTAGACCAGGCCCAGAATAGAGATGGAGGAGGAAGCCTTGGGCATTGGAAGGAGAGGCCCACAGGGCTCTGACACTCACTGGTTTTGCCATTGACGGTCACTTTTAACCTCAAGCATTGGTCTTCCTGGTGGTGGATGGGCTTAGCTGCAAGATAAACCCATAGGGATTAAGAAAGGAATCTCTGTTTGAAGAAACTGTAAGCCCAAATACCTCTCGCACCTGCTAATTTCTCTCTTCCTTTTAATCTGATTCTTATCCTTCTTAGTTTTTGCCCATTTTCTGTTCAATATTCAACCCATTCTTTGAAAACCTTCATCTTTGCAATAGTGGAAAAATAACGTAGACACTATGGTTTCCCCACATTCCATTCTCCAATCCTCCCAGCCTGAAATTGGCTGAAGCCTTCACAATATGCTCTCTTTACCTAGGTCATTTTATATTCCTTCTGGTTCACTCCCCCAGAGTGAGTCCTGGATCCATTCTCCACAAAGCTCATCTTTTAGCTCTTTAAATCCACCAATCTTTCCACTGCCCTCAGGATAAGGTTCAAATTCCTTAGAACTTCTAAGGCCCTCCATGATCTATCTTGCTTCCCTCTCCAAGCTCTTCTCTCCCTACTTCCTGTGTCTCTTTCACTCCAGCCAGGCTACATCATTTGGAGTCCCCCGAAAACGTGTGCTAGGCTGCTAACTGAAAGGTTGGGGGTTGGAGTCCACCCAGAGGTGCCTGACAAGAAAGGCCTTGTGATCTACTTCCCAAAAGTCAGCCACCACACACCACATGGAACACAGCTCTACTCTGACACTCATGGACTCTCCACAAGATGAAGTTGAGTTATTAGCAACTGGTTGGAAGGTGTCCTGCTCATTTTGCACTTGTACCCTGTCTAGTCAACACTTTTGCTTGTCCTAAGCTCTGGGGTCATCTCCCTCAGCAAGCCTTCTCTGAGCACTCCAGCCTGGCATGTGCCAAGGTCATTTCCCAAGGTTCTGTGTGTTCATATCTACTACCTTACACTGTTCTATTGGTCCATTAAGCAGCTCTGGTGGTGCAGTGCCTAAGGCATTTGCCTGCTAACCACAAGGCTAGCAGTTCAAACCTACCAGCTGCTCCACAGAAGAAAGATGGGACAGTCTACTTCTTTAAAGATTTACTGCCATGGAAACCCAGTGGGGGTCACTATGAGTTGGAATCAACTCGATGGCAGTGAGTAATTGTCCATTAACCTACATGTGTCCCTTTCCAGCTTCCTTGAAGAAAAGAACTCTGTAATTATTTATCTCTGTGCCTATAGCACCAAGCAGAGTGCCCAGTACACAGTAGAAGCTCCCTACCAGCCACTCCTCAGAAGGAAGATGGGGCAATCTACTTCCGTAGTGATACTGCCTTGGAAACCCAAGGAGGGGTTGCTATGAGTCGGGTCTGACTCGATGGCACACAACAACACAACAACACTGTAATATGAATCAATGAGTAACAGAATCTCAGGAGTGGAAGAGATCTTCGGCTGTCTGACTCCCCACTAAGCATGTAAACCAAGCAGATGCATCTTGCCTGCTGTGTCCCCAGTATGTCCACTTGTGTGCATGTCTCCCAGGCACTCACAGATGTAGTAGTAGCTATGTCCTTCTTTGAACTCCTTGCCCAGGGTGAATGGTGTGAAGCGTTGGAACTTCTCAGACAGCTTTTCTGGGCCATGCCTAGCACTGGGCTGGTTGCACTTCCAGCGGACCTGGTCCTTGGAATGGGGCTGGCACAGCTGGTACTCCTCGTGCTCCACTAAGTACAGCGTGTACCGCTCCATGGCAGCATCTGCTACAGAGTCATCCTCATAATGTGGACAGATGATGTCTAGGTAGTCATTCAGCTGTACATGTACTGTGTAGTCCTCATTCCGGAACCTGGCCATACACACACAGGGAGGAAGCAGGTGGTCATTCAGGAGCCCGACCAGAGCCTTGAGACCCCGTATGTTTACATGATCCTTCACATTTCACTCCGTACACCCCCTCAGATTTTCCCAAAATCTCAACTCCCAGTATTTACCGCTCTTGATCTCTTAAATGTCCTCCCATAATCTCCAAACAGTGCCTTCCCCTCATTGTTTCCCATTAATCCTCCCAACAGCATCCACTCAGTATCTCTCAGGTATCAAAGCACTTCCCATAACCCCCTTGATATTTACCCAAGGATAGGCTCCTATGTATTTCTTTAGCTCACTCATTA